GCTTTCTCTAGTTGCGGCGAGTGGGGGCTACTCTTCGTTGCGGTGCACGGGCTTCTCATTGCAGTGGCTTCTCTTGTTGCGGAGCACGAGCTCTAGGTGCACGGGCTTCAGTAGCTGTGGCACGCAGGCTCAGTAGTTGTGGCTCGTGGGCTCTAGAGCGCAGGCTCAGTAGTTGTGGCGCACAGGCTTAGTTGCTCTGCGGCACGTGGGATCTTCCTGGACCAGGGCTCAAACCCGTGTCCCCTGCATTGGCAGGCGGATTCTTAACCACTGTGCCACTAGGGCAGTCCCTACTTGCTATTGTTTCTTAAGGACCAAATGTGCCAGGAACTGAGCAGGACACTTCTTGAATGAATGAATGAATGAATGAACGAATGAACAAACACACAGAGCCGGCCCTGCCCTTGGGGAGTGCAGCTGGAGGCAGACACTGACCCAGATATATTGGCTGGACCCAGAGAACATCGGGAAAGGTCACCAGACTGCAAATGGAAAGGGCGCAGGGACCACAAAATGCAAGAGGAAACCCATATCAAGTTTCACTAGTGGAGTCTCCATGTCACGTTCAAGTCAGTGCAGGTGCCTGGAGCCTGGGGGAGGTGCAGGGTTCCAGTGCCAGGGAGGGCTGGCCAGGAAAGAGCCTGTCCTCGGGGGGAGGTAGGATTTCGGGAGCCAGATGGCCGGCAGGAGGAGGGCAGCCCCAGGTGGGCTCCCCATGTGCTTCCTCTCCAGTGTCCTGTGGATTCTACCAAGCCGGGAGTGGCCGAGTGACGCCGTGTCACGGATGCACAAAGAGGCTCAGGGCAGCGCACACAGGGACTGAATGCCTTCACTGTCACTCGTGTCCGAAAGTTTGGTCTGGCCTGGGTTCTGGGGTCCACATTTACCAAGCATTTACATCTTTACATCTTGTATTTGCTTCTGATTTCTTTTTTCAAGAAATAAAATGGGGATTGCCTGGAAGCCCTTTCACGGAGCCCTCAGTCTTGTTCTATCCCTGCCTCCCTTGAGGTACCCTCTACCCACGACTCTGAAGGGGATGAGTTCCCTTCTTGTCCCCGTTTAGTCATTCAACAAGCATTTATGGAGCACCTAATGTGTGCCAGGCACTGGGAGATCGCAGTGCATACAATAGAACAAATCTGCCTTCATGCAGCTTTTGCTCGTATGTATGTGTGTGTCCATATAGAATAAATCTTACTATATGTGGCTTTTAATTTCTACATAAATGGGACAGATTGTGCTGTACTTTGCTTTATCAGCCAACTTTATGTTTTCAGGGTTTTGTCGTGCTGATACATGAGAGCTGTTTTATGAATCTTAGCTACATAATATTCCATTGTGCAAACACACCACGGATTAGCCATTCTTCTGTTGTAAAATATTTAAGTGGTTTCCATTTTTTTGCTGTTTCGAACAGCGCCACAGTGACCGTCTTTGGGCACGTTCCCTTGCACCCGTGTGTGACTTTCTCTGGGAAGGATGTGGAGGTGGACACACTGGCCTGTAGGATTCTAGACCCCCTGGTGCAGTCTGCTCTCAGTCTCCTTGTTCCCAGAGCACTTGGGCCAGGAGCTCTCCAAGGTTCCTACTGCCCCCAGGCACTCGGAGGCTCCTGGCAAGTGCTTGTGGCTTCCTGCCCCCCCCCCCCCACCCCCGGCCCTGCACGGAGGCACTGGCTGGGCGGACGGTGGAGCTTGCAGCTGGCATGTGGCAACTGGGCTGGGGCTGTGTGTGGGGTGAGGGGCTTGCCAAGAGTGACCCAGGAAGGCCTAGGGGAGCCACGGGGAACGCCAGACTCCTTCATGCCCCCTTTCTTATAATCCTGTTCCTGGAGCCTGGGACAGGTGGAGTGTTCCAGCTTCTGTGCAGAGATAGGGCATGGGCTCGTTCCTTGTTGCTTGGGTTTAATTTGATTATATTTGCTCTCAGTATGGACTCATGGATTTTTTTTTTTTAATCCAAAGAGAGAGTCCGTGTGGTAAAGGAGGAGGGGTGCAAAGAAGTGCCCCCGCCCTGGTGGAGAGGTTTGAAGAGGGCGTCCCAGGGGAGTGCTAGTCATGGTGCTGCAGAGGCAGGGGCTGGACATGGGAGGGCTGGCGGGCTTAGCATGAGACTTGGGATCTTCCCAGGGGTGGGGAGGGGCTGCAGGAGATGGGGGTTAACAGAGACCCAGCGACTGGGGCCTTCCCTTTCTCTGCCGGAGGGAGGCTCCGGACACACACCTGGATTACAGGCCCACTGACCGGCCATGTGACCTCCGTCAGTCTACTTATCACCTCCGAGCCTCAGTTTCCACATCTGTAAGATGGGGCCATTAGCCTGAACTGTGGTCACCTAATTCTTCTTTCACCAGCAAAACGAAGCCTGCAAGATATACCCTGGCGTGTCAGGTGGGGCCATCCTATGGAACTTCTTAGAGGAGCATTGCCCAGAAATATGACTTAATCTAAAAGTTTCTCCCTCCTTGAGAACAATTAACTCCTATTCTATGCCTGCCTCCCCTCTGCCCCTTGGCCCCCTCCTCCCTCCTGGAGCCAGGTGGCACATCCTAACCCCTCAGCCAGCCTCCCCCTCTTGTCCATCTGTCTCCCCAGATGGGGGGGGGCGGAAATGTAGCAATTGGCCCAATTTCTAACTGGAAAGGAACCATATGGAGGGTTTACCTGGGAGCTGAGTGTCTGCCCGGCCGCTGTTAGGGCAGAGCCAGCGCTGTGGGCAGCAGACTGGCTCCCCAGGCTCTCTCTGTGAGCCGGGACCGGAGGGGCCCCGTCCTGCCCCCAAACCCACCCTCCTTCTCTCCTTCTCTCCCTCCCCCATGAGCCCCTGGTAGACCTGCTTTTCTCCTGTGCTTGGGGCTTCTTTGGGTGTCTTAGGAGGTCTTGAGGAGCTTGGTCTGCACGGAAGTGGCAGAAAGTAAGGGAAGTGGGTGCTGGTCAGGGCAGGGGGCAGAGGGCCATGGTTGCCTTGCCTGGTGCAGAGAACCAGGGGGTCTACTTTCCTGGCAATGTGAGAATGTGTCTGTGTCGTGTGGCTCCAGGCCTTGCAGGTGCCTGGCACAGAGCAGCCCCCATTCTAGTGTGAGTACGTTGTTCTCCCAGAATGCCCCACGCCCCGGCTGCTTGCGCCTCCTCCTGCTAAGACTCAGCTCAGGGTCACCGCCCTTGGGCAGCCTTCCCTGGTTGCCACCTACGCCCAGGAGTAGAGGGCCCTCCTTGGGTGGAGCTGGGTGCTGGCACCTTTCCCCGGGGGGCAGGTGGGTGTGTTACCTCTCCCTGTGCTGGGAGCCCCTTGCAGTCAGTCCTCCATGCAGAGGTGCGTGGAGTCTGCGCAGAAGGCTCAGGTGACCCCGGCCTGGACTGAGAAGCCATTCAAAGGCTCGGGGGTGCCCAGGGGTGACAGCCAGGTGCCCAGCCAAGGTGGATAGTTTGGCTGGGCCCTAAAGGGCTCCTGTGTGAGGTGGAGCTGGGCTGAGACCCTTGAGTGGGACCCAGAGGAAGGTAATGGTCTCAGATAAAGGATCTGCTTTCATCAAGAGTAATCCCTCATGTTTTTCCATCAGCTGAGCCCTGACTCTGCCACCTGGGGTCCTGGGGGGGTCTTACTCCCTGGAGGCCCCCCATTCTGTACCTCAGTAGGGCAGGGAATTGTGTGGCTTTGGGTAAACCACTTCTCTTTTCTGAGCCTCAGTTTCCTCACCTGTCAAATGCAGTTGATAGAAACAGTGGTCCACAGTGCTTTTGTGGCAGGAGATGAGGGGAGATTGAAATACACACATGATACCTGTCCCCCGCCAGCACTGGAGAGACACGTCTGAGGCTGGGGACTGGCTGGGTGAAGTGGAAAGTGCTCCCAGGGTTTCTGTGAGCCACATGGCCTGGCTGTGAATTCCGGGGTGTGTGTTGACTGAATCCTGGCTCCTGCAGACTTGGGGGCTGGCCATCTTGCAGAGGCATGCGCTTGAGAGGCAGGTAGGCCCTGGGTCCCCTTCCCCAGGACCCAGCCAGGTAGGTGGTGGCCCAGAGAAGAAGGAGTGACAGGAGGGCCCCTAAAGACCTTCTGACCCCAGTCAGAGCTCTTCCAGTCCTTCCACCCCAAGCACTCCGGTTAGAATGACCTTCCGGGGCTCTCCTGAGCTCCCTGCTAGGAATCTGATCACAAATAAGATGGGCGGGGCCTCGAGTATCAAGGCTCCCTGCCAGGCCAGGGTGGGAGCTGGAGAGACTTACACACTGAGTGGCCTGTGGGTTCGTGGAAGGGAACCTGGGAAGACCTGGATGAGGACTGTAGCTGGGTTTGCAGCATTGCTGCCCAGGATGTGTGGGCACGAGTCAGCAGCCATGCGCACTGCTCTTACCAAGGGGCCTGTTGATGAGCATGGGGCCCGGGGACAAGAGCCCTGGTTGGTGTGTGTGGATGTGGGTGCCAGAGGCACTAATGGCCCAGGGTGGGCAGTTTGCTCTCGTTCTCAGATTTACTCCTCCAAAAAACCTTATGAGGTGGTTACATTGAAAAGAACCAATGTTTACTGAGCACTTACTATGTGCCAGATATTATTGTATTTATATGCATGAACACACTTAGCTTTATAACAACTCTATGAAATAGGTAGTATCATTATCTTCACTTTATAGATGATGTATTTGAGGCACAGAGAGGTTCAGTAACCAGCCCGAGATCACACAGCAGTAAGTAGCAGAGCTGAGATTTGAACCCAGGCAGTCTAGCTTTAAGCACAATGCTGCATTGCCTCTTGCTAACAACCTATTTTATTTATGAAAACTGAGGCACAGAGAACCTAAGTGACATGTCCAGGGTCACCACGCTTGTGAGTTGTGGAGCCGAAATTCCCCCGGTGGCTATTCTGACTGCATAGCCCGTGCCCAGAGATGGGGACCTGGGAGCTAAGAGTCAGGCTACAGGGCCGTGAGCAGCCCCCAGGAGTGTGGGTTAGGGGAGAGACTCTGTCCGCCCCAGGCTGACTGGTACCCTTCTTGCAGGGGGTGTGTGCATTGCCCAGTCGGTCAAGATACCACGGGAACCCAAGCCTGGGGAGTTCGACAAGATCATCCGGCGCCTCCTGGAGACCTCGAACGCCAGGGCGGTCATCATCTTTGCCAATGAGGATGATATCAGGTGAGGGCAGGTGGGGCTTGGGGCGGGGCTTGGGAGCTGGGGATCCCTGCTGGAGACCTTCCTAGGCAAGCCTGACCCACCCTGGGGTCCAGAGAGATGGGGTGGGCCAGCGAGTGGGTGGTGGGGAGACCCTTCTGGCTGGGGCACAGGCTACTGCTAATGGGCTCCCATTCCCCTCGCTGTTTCCTGCATCCATTCTACCAACTGGGGATGGTAAGCAGGTACCTTTACAGAGGGGCTAAGGCCATGGGCTTGGGGTCAGAGCACCTAGGTTCCTCGCCTGCTCTCCTTCCTACTAGCTATGTGACCTCAGGCAAGTTTCTCAACCTCTCAGGGCTTCTATTCTGCTTTAAAAAATAAAAAAAGAGAAGCTAATTATGCTTGCTTGATGGTGTTGCTTGAGTATTGAATGCAGGAACGTGCATAAGGGGCTTAGAGCAGAGGCTGGCAAGGTTGGCCACCTCTCAGCCCCTCCCTCCTTCCTTCGGTGACCTCAGAGTAGTGGGAGGAGGCCTGGGCCGAGGTTTTAGTCCTGATTTGGGCACACACTCACTGTGGGCAGTATTGTCCCCTCCCTGGTCCTCAGTCTCCACATCTGCAGATTGGGGGCAGGTGGACTCCGGGTGCCAGAACCATGCAGTGCAGAAACCCTGGACCACCCCACCTCTCTGCACATCTGCCCCTGGGTCCTGAGTCGCAGGTCAGAAACTTAGGCCCTTAGAAGATGACCCCTGAGCACCCCTCCTAACCCACTTCCCTTCTTCCTGCCTTTTCTCTCACTACTACCCCTCCGAGACTGTATGTTAGGGCCAAGAGGGGCTGGCCTCCTTGATTCCCTAGTCTCAGTGGGAGACACAGCCCCTGCTCAGAATCTGACTGGCAGAGGAGATGTGGTTCTCCCCAGGTCTCCTCCCTCAGATAGTTGGCCTGAGCTTTCAGAGCCCGCTGTGCCCTCCAGTCGACCTGCCCACCTGCCTAGCCCAGCCTGCCCGGTCTGCCCCCCGTGCATCCCCCTCCCCATTGCTAACCAGCATCTTTTCTGGGTCGCATTCTTTCCAGCACTCTTTCCCACTTGTGAAGACCCCATCCTGGACTCCTGAGTTTCAGCAAAACAGATATCCCCCCAGGAGACATTGTCGGGTCCCTGGAGGGGTGGAGGGGGGAGTTTGGGAAAGTCATTAAGGCCTCAAAAGCCACAAGGACCAGCTCTAATAGGTGTTTCTCAGGCCTCGAAGGACCAGGGCGTGGGAGTCCTCAGGATCCATCTGGCACCTCCAAGCTGAAAACAGAGGCTGCTCCTGACCCCCTCAAAGCTTTCAGGTCCCCTAAATTCCTATTGCCACAGGTCCGCTGGCAACGGGGGCAGGAGGGGCTCCTTCTGAGCTCTTTCCCTCCCTGCAGTCACCAGTCGCTGCCCCCCTGCCCCCACTCCCACCCCAGAGCCCAGCACTACTTGGGTCCCACTGCGTCCCGGGACGCACCCCACTCCAGGCCTCCCTTGCGGCTCTGATGGACCCACACGCGGGGAGGGGAGGATGAAGGTGCCACGTGTCCCAGAGAAGAGGCCCCTGGGAGAGAGAGGGAAGGGCCTGAGACTGACTCCCTGAGCAGCTGTGGGGGGTGGGGGGGTGTGATGGAGTGGGGTGCATTTCTGGAAATCCACAGGCATTTCAGAAGCAAACAGAAGTAAAAATAAACCCAGGTGACTTTACAGAGATGGAGTCTTAGCAGCTCTGGTCATGTCTGGCCGGCCGGATGCAGGCGGGTATTAATAGGTATTAATAGCCTCACCTACAATTACTGGGCCCTGCCTGGGCTGCGGTAGCTTTGGGGGTCTGGAAATGTCCATCAGGAGACGATGGAGGCGGGCAGGTGTGGGCCCCGGGGCTGGGAAACATGTCTCTCCCTGGCAGCCCCAGGCGGTCCTGCCCCAGCTGGCCACCTCCTGCACAGGCGCAGCAGCCACCCCAAGCCCCGGAGTCTGTCCTGGCTTGTCCATGGGAAGGGCCTGGACAGTTTCTAGTATCCTGGCCTCTCGCTGTGTGATCTCGAGCAAGTTGCTTGCTCCAGTCTCTCCCCGTGGAAGGAGGTGCGTTGCGAGAATTCTGCCCAGTCCCTCCTATTTTTCTCCTCCTAGGTGTCTCTGAGGGGCCACTTAGTTCAAGCATCCATTAAGCACTGACTGAAAGCCTCCTGTGGGCTGGGCCCTGTGCTGGGCTCCAGGGCCCCTGACTTGACTAGGACCACTGTCACTGTGGGCCTGCGGAGGGGTGAGGCCCTGGCTGCCCGCACCCTTTCATCCATCCAGGAGGGTGTGGGGAGCAGCTCTTTGAAGCACCTGGACTTTTGGCACAGAAGGAGGTGGCATGCAGAGGGGGAAGGGTGTAGTGGGGTGTGTGTGTGAGAGAGACAGTGGATATAAATGTGAGAAAGGGCCAAGGGATGTGGGTCTGGGCTTAGGACCAGGGTGGCATGTACCTGAGAGGACAGAGCCTGGGCAGATGTGGTTCTGGGGACCTGAGTCAGACAGGTCCAAACTGAGGGAAACAGCTGTGGTCTTTGCAGGGACTGAGGTAGCCCCAGGGGACAGGAGTGGGTCTGGGAAACAGACAGGGGCTAGGGCTACCGTATCGGTGAGAGGGGAAGCCGTGGGCCTACAGGCAGGCATGGGCCAGGGCAGCAGGGAACTGTGAGCCTGCGGGTATGACACGGGTACTGGGGCGGCTATGGGCCCTGGGCTCATGTGGCTCAGGATGGGGGATCCAGGCACAGGCTGGGAGGGAGACAGGTGTGGGCCTCGGGGAAGGGGGTCAGCCAAGGGCAGGTGTGGCCAGGGTGGCGGCAGCCGCGCGGACAGACACGGCTGGGTTGGGCTGGGCTGGTGCGTGTTCCCACAGGCGTGTGCTGGAGGCGGCCCGGAAGGCCAACCAGACCGGCCACTTCTTCTGGATGGGCTCGGACAGCTGGGGCTCCAAGATCGCCCCTGTGCTGCACCTGGAGGAGGTGGCCGAGGGTGCCGTCACTGTCCTCCCCAAGAGGATGTCCGTGCGAGGTAGGCCCGGCAGCCCGGACGGCACGCCCGCCGCCCTCACCCGGCACCATCCACCACCGCTGTCAGTGTCACCCCGATGGCTCCTTATCGGCGCTCCATGCCCTTCCTCTCCCGCTCCTCGTCTCCCTCCATCCTGCCTTTCCTCTTCCTTGGCTCACAGCTTCTTTGTGCTCGGGTTCTGGGATAGGTAGCCTTTCTGGCCACACTTAACCCAGCAGGATTCAAATCCAGATTCAGGACCTTTCTTCCTCCCGTCTCAGATATTTGTGGGTGTGGGAGATGGTGGCAAGTATAGGAGGCTCATTTATCAAGGACTCTCCTTCATCCCTATATACTCTCATCCCTTCTTGCATCTGGGATAGAAGAGGTGAGATCCCTGCCCTGCCTGGAGCGCATCCTCTGCCAGAACGGGCCGGGCACTGCCAGCAAGCTACAAGAAGAGCATGCCATGCCAGGGGGCAGGGGCCTCCCTGCAGAGCCCGCCTGGGTCTGGCGGGCCCTGGGTGTGGGGGCAGGCGTTGCGCCTGCCCTGCCCGGCATCCCTTCCTCTTGGGGCAGAACCCAGTCACCCTGGGCAGGAACAGATTGCTCTGGCCAGAACCTTGCTGTGCGTGAGGTGTGAAGTTCCTATTAATGGCTCAGTTTGGCAGGGACCTCACTGTCCTCCCCATGGGGGAGGCAGGCTCCCAGGGCCTTCTCCCCTGCTCTTGCTCTGGTCAATAGAATCCAGCATTGATGGAGGTGGAAAGGCCTGCAGACATCTGCTTCCACCAAACCTTCCAAGAGACCAAGGCCTGAGCAGGGGAGGGATGTGGGTCACACCGCCGTGTCCTCTACTCACCCTGAGGCAGAGGGAGCATAGGCCGCAGAAGTTTCCACACCTCCCCTCTCAGCCTCAAGCCATAATAAACACAAAATAACAATAACTATGGCTCTTGATACCTGCAAACACCAGGCCCCTTACAGACATCTCATTCAATCTTCCCTGCAACCTCAAAAGAAACTTTTATCCACATTTAGTGGGTGAATACATTTAAGGATCAGAGAGATTTAGTGACATGTAGTGGCAGTAAGTGACACATACTTGCTATTAAGTGGCAGAACTGGGATCTGAACCCTGGACTTGCCAGGGAAATCCCTTTTTTCTTTCTTTTTTGTGGTACGCGGGCCTCTCACTGTTGTGGCCTCTCCCATTGCGAGCACAGGCTCCGGACGCGCAGGCTCAGTGGCCATGGCTCACGGGCCCAGCCGCTCTGCGGCACGTGGGATCTTCCCGGACCAGGGCACGAACCCGCGTCCCCTGCATCGGCAGGCGGACTCTCAACCACTGCGCCACCAGGGAAGACCCCCTTTTTTCTCTGGGACATTAGAGGAGCCTTTAGAGCAGTGGTTCTCACCTGGGGGTGATTTTGATCCCCAAGGGCCGTTTGGCAACGTTTGGAGACATTTTCGGTTGTCACGATTAGGGAGTGATGCTTCTGGCATCTAGTGGGTAGAGGCTGGGGATGTTGCTCAATATCCTGAAATGTACAGGACAGCCCCCTGCCGCTCCAGCCCCCCACCCCAGCAAAGAATGATCGGGCCTAGTGTCAGTGGGTCAAGGTTGAGAAACTCTGCTCTAAGGCCAGTCCCCCACCAGTGCCAGCACCTCCCTGACAGCTCCGACAGTCAGACAGCTGTGCCCATGACACAGAATGATCATGATATATAGAGAGGGGGCACTGGTAGGAGAGAGAAGGCGATATTCACTCACCAGCCTGCCTACCCTGGGATGGGGTTTTCTAGGCTTAGAGCAGAGTGGGTAAGCCCTTAGGAGCATTTGGAGAAGGAGGCTGCCTCTGTCAGTGATGGGGAAGTTCTGGACTTGAAGGAGGAAGATCCAGCCCCCCATCTTATCTGTGTGACCTGGGTCATTCCCTACACTCTCTGGTCCGGTCTCCTCTTCAGAACTAGAATGCTCAGGTACTCCCAGGATTGAGTGCCTGCCCCCCACCAGCCTCTCTGCTCTAATCTCTGGGCCCCCAAGTGACTCCTTCTCAAAGAGGCCCCGTATTACATTTTGGTGGTTAAGAAGCAGCAGAAACACCCTCATCCTGTACTTCTTCCATAAAGGAAGCAGTTGTAAGATTACACAGGCTCTCCCTGGAATTTAATACAGCTCTTTTCATTGTGAAGAAAATGAAATGGTCCACATTTTGTTTTTTCCGGCTGGGCCCTGGATCAGAGGATGTGCTCTTCCCTTCCGCCTCCCTCTGCCTGGGCCACATGAAAGCTGCGGGAAGCGGGAAGGGGAGGGGGCGGGTGGGGAAGGGAGGCGTGAGGTCCTGACATCCTGGTTCCCTGTCAGGCTTCGACCGCTACTTCTCCAGCCGCACGCTGGACAACAACCGGCGCAACATCTGGTTTGCTGAGTTCTGGGAGGACAACTTCCATTGCAAGTTGAGCCGCCACGCGCTCAAGAAAGGCAGCCATGTCAAGAAGTGCACCAGTGAGCACGCGCGTGGTGGGGGGGCGTGGGACTGAGCCTCAGGGGGCGGGGCCAGGGTGGGCCCTGAGGGGGTGGGGCTATGGGGGAGAAGGCTGAGAGTGTCAAGCTGGGTGAGCGGTGGCTACGGGACACTGCCGCAGGGGTAGCAGTGTCCAGGGGCCCAGGCGGTGCTGCCTGGGGGTGGAGTTGGGGGCCAGAAGGGGCGGAGCCCTAAGGTGGTGGGGGCAGAAGGGGCGGGGCCAGGACTGACTCAAGGTCTGACACCAGGGCCTTGTCGGTGGGTGGGCTTAGGGTAGCTGAAACCTCGGTGATCTCTCAGACCATCAGCCGTAGGACGCTGCTGAGTAGGGGAAGGGGCTCCTGGGTCTGGGCAGAGGTGCCGTCTGGCTGCTCACCTTGGGCTTCATCTGGACGCCCCTATGGCAAGCCCACAGACCTGACTGACCCCAGCTGCCCTGTGAATCCTAACGCTCACCGGTCTGAGCACTTTACAGAAACCATCTCTAACCCCTCCAGGTTCCCACAGTCACTCAACAGACACCAGTTTGACTCCCACTCCCTGGCCCTTTTCTAAGCACCATGGATATAGCAGCGAATGAGAGCCGAAAAGCTCTTGGAGTTTTTATTTTAATGGGGAGACAGACAATAAACGAGATATGTAAGTAAACTATAGACTATGTCAGAAGGAAAAAGTGCAGTAGAAACAAAATAGATAAGAAAGAGGATGGCCTCCCTGCAAGGTAACACTTCAGCAGAGTCCTGAAAAGGACAGGGAATGAGCCACGGGAGGATGGGACGATGGGTCTATTTTACAGAATGGAAAACAGAGGCTCAGAGCAGGTAAGTAAAGGGACCTGAGTTCCCGCAGATGAAAGGTGGTGGAACAGGATATGGACCCAGGTCTGAGTTCTAGGCCCTCAGACCCCTATGGTAGCCGTCTTGGCGCATTCACCTTTGATACAGTTGGATGTGGGTCCTTGTGCTCTCTTTGTCTGGGTAGCTCTGCAGCAGGACCTGGCGTCAGGGACATTGGGAGGGCTCTGTGTACCCCTCAGCCGTGAGTGGCGGCCATGCAAGGGTGATGAACTCCCTCCTATAGTCTCCTGGACTGATGGGTGCAGCTTGGGCAGAGGGCCAGATGAGCAAGGGCCACAGGATCAGCTGCAGGGACATGCTGCATGGAATCACTGGCAGTTGGGGGTGGGGGTGGGGGTGGGGGTTGGTCCACTAGGGCCAGGGGAGGAGGGAGCATGGTGAGGTGGGCGGGCCGGTGGGGAGCATGCTGACCTCTGGTGGCCAGGGCAATCGTGGCTACTTAAGACTGTGGGTGTCCTCTGGGGACGGAGGCAAACGCCTGTGGGTGTAGGCAGCAGTGTGTGTACACCCTTGTGTGTGTGACTGTATGTGACTGTGTATGTACATGAGTGTCTAAAAGAGAAGGTATATATGTGCATGTCTGTCTTACGTAGGGGTGACGTTCTTGGGTGAGCTAATAACCATACACACCACTCTTTACTATGCATTTACTATGTTCCAGATATTTTAACAACATCATCTCATTTCACCCTCAAAACAACTCTAGGGGTTCTTATGACCCCCTTATTATGGAGGCTATGGAGAGTCAGAGAGGTCAAGCAACTTGCCCAAGGCTGCACAGCAAAGGTCTTTATGAGGCAGTAATCACAACAAAGGTGTAAGAAGTACAAACATGCCTGGGCATGGGAGGCTGGGCCCTCATGGGTAGGAGCATCCTGTTTACTTCTCTCTTCCTGGCATAATTATTGAGAGCATCCCCTTTTATTCTCAAAAGTGCCCAAGTGGGGATAGAAGATTGTATCTTCACCCTGATTATAGGTCACGAGACCTGGCTTGGAAATGGGGATGGGTGGGACTGAAAGTGGGGGCAACACGGATAAGGGGGCGTCTCGGCCCCTGTGTCTGGCTCACCAAGGGAGAGGGGCTTTCTGGAGTCTGCTCTTGGTCTGGGAGGCGCAGGCAGGGAGAAGGCCTTGGTCAGTCCCTGTAAGCTCTTTCCAGACTCCCAGTCCTCTTCAGGACTCCCCGGCTGCTGGTGAACTGGTGGGGGGGGCACCTCTCTAGGTGCCCTCAGGGAGGCGTGTGCGCTGTCAGAGCAGGTGGGGAAGGAGGGCTTGATCAGGATTCAGGAGGGTGTAGACTCTCACTGGGAACCTGAGGCCAGCTGTACCCTGTCAGGACCTTAGCTTTCTCATCTGAGAAATGGGATTGGTGGTGGGCCAGCCCAGAGGGTGTCTGGGGTGCAGGTGAGACAGCTGATTGGAGGCACTTGGTGAACTGTGAGAGGGCGGTGCTCAAGCCTGGCTGTGCATCAGAATCACCTGGAACCTTTAGAGCTCTACTAGGGCCCCCCCAGACCCACTAAGCAGAACCTCATGGGTGGGTTGTTTTTCAGGCTCTCCCAGTGGATTTTATGTGTATCTAGGGCAGGGAACCTCACATCGAATCACCTGGGGATCTCTTCAGATGCCGACCGAGGCCTGGCTCCCAGCCCCAGACATTCTGATGTAATTGGCCCTGGGTACCACCTGGGCATCAGGATTTTTTTTTTTTTTTTTTTGTGGCACGCGGGCCTCTCACTGTTGTGGCCTCTCCCGTTGCGGAGCACAGGCTCCGGACGCGCGGGCCCAGCCGCTCCGCAGCATGTGGGATCCTCCCGGACCGGGGCACGAACCCGTGTCCCCTGCATCGGCAGGCGGACTCTCAACCACTGCGCCACCAGGGAAGCCCGTCAGGATTTTTAAAAGGTGCCCCTGTGGTTTAATGTGTAGCCGTGTATGGAAACCACTGCCTCAGAGGGAGGGGTGGGTGATAGAAGGGGTGATGGCGTGCACCCCAGGCAGTGGGGAAGGCAAAGCACCAGAGCCCGGAATGAGCTTGGGGTGTGTATCACAGGGAGGGGTGGAAGGACAGCATATTCCAGCTGACCTGGATCCTTCTCGCTGCATCTGAAGCCCCAGCAGAGGCTGGTAAGGGTCCTTGGGCGGCCCCACGTCAGGCACAGTGAGCCCGTCCATCTCTGGGTGAGGTGAGGGGTGGGGGAGCTGCTGGGAATGTTTGTGGGATCGGAGACCCACCCTGGGTGAGGGGAAGGCAGCTCTGGCTTCTCATGGCCCCGCCCAGGTTTGAGCTGAGCCAGTCCCTTAGGCCAGGAGGGCTGGGGTGACACCCATGGAGTATGGGCTCTGGACAGGGCACCTGTCAACGTGTCAGGGTCTGGGTCCGACTCTGCCTCCTCCCTGCTGTGTGACCTTGGACATGTTATTTAACCTCTCTGAGTCTCAGAGAGGGCAGGAAAGTCACCACCCATCTCAATGGGTTGTTGGAAGGATTGGTGATGTGTTTGAAGAGTATGAAGAAGCTGGCTGAAAAAGGATGTGTATGATCAGCGCTGATAAAATGGTGGTTGTTGTTGATAGAGAGGGAGGGGGAGAGGTGGGATTTACCTGCAACTGGGTAATTTAACAGCTCAAGTCTGCTGTAAGGATTCTGTCCGTTGTAGGATCCCCGATGGGGAGGACAGCATCCTGAGGGTGGGTGGCGTAGGCTCTCACAAGTGTTGCATCCATTTTACAGAAGAGGACGCTGAGGTGATTGGTGAACATCACAGTGCTAGAGAATTGGCAGAGCTGGATTCATACCCAGGCAGCCTGGCTCTCCAGCTGGTGCCCCACCTGCCTCTCCCACTTCCTTTCCTCCCACGCCCCCAGCCACCGTCTCGCTTGCCCTCAGCTAGCCCTGTATTCTCCACCTGCCTCACTCTGTCTCCCGAGCCAAGATCCACACTCACTTCTTCCAGGCTGCCTGCCCATCCACACCGGGTGGGCCCACTCTGGTCCCCTCATTGCTAACAGTTTCAATAGCCAGCCTCTGCCTGTCTCAGTCCTTCAGGCCCTGCCCACGATCTCAGCATGAGCGAGTGCCACTCCTGTGTTCCCCTGCCCTTTGCTCTGACAAGTCCATGCCTTCCCTCCTCAGGGCAACAGACGGGCCCGATGACCTTCTCAGAGGGTGGGAAGGACCTTCTCTTGCTGGGGTCTTACACTTGGGAAGATCCGATCCATCCTTCAAGGCTGTGTTAAGTTGAATTCCCCTCAGGAATTCCCTGGTGGTCTGGTGGTTAGGACTCCACACTTTCACTGCCAAGAGCTCGGGTTCGATCCCTGGTTGGGGAGCTAGGATCCCACAAGTCGTGCAGCGCGGCCAAGAAAAAAAAAGTTGAATTCTCCTCAAGACAAGGAATTGAGAGCCAGTCGTTTCTTTGGGAGAGAATCCCAGGAAACATTGGTAGGGGAGGGAAGGCAGACATAAAGGGTGTGATACCAAGCAGGTTACCACTGTGAGCGCTGAAGCTTTACTCCCCCGGGGGCTCTGGAGACAGAAAGGAGCACGCCTGGCAGTCATCCCACTGGAGGTGTGAGGGAGCTGGGGTGTGTGTACACCAACTCCCATCAATCATTGCTGGCTGTTCCCAGAGGGTGTTAATTCCTCAGTGCCTCCACATGCCAAATGGCTGGCAAAGAGGGCTTCTGTGGCCAGAGAGTCTCAGAAGAGTGGCAGATACTGGCAGTTGGAGACTGGGCTGGTGTGTCTCAAAGCGGCAAGTGGTCTTGGGCACCCATTCTTTCTCAAATACACAACTGTGAGAGTCCCCCTGAACTGGGTGTGAGTCCTAGTGCTGCCACTTCCTAGCCGTGTGATCTGGGGCAGGTCACTTCTTGAGGCCTCAGTTTCCTCATCTGTAAAATGGGGATCATACTACCCACTTCCATCCCCCAGAGCCCTGCCCCTAGCAGAGCTGCCTCTCTCATGGTTTCCCAGAGAAGGATTGGAGGAAGCACTGCCGGAAGCACTAGAAGATGGCCTGTGGGCTGCTCCACACCTGAGCGAGATAGGGGTCACGGAGCAGGGTGTCTCTGCAGCTGTCAAGGCCTGCGGGAGGGCAGTGCCCACCTCCCGCCTCC